ACCATATTGTTATTATAAGTTTTTAAGCCCTGATATTATGTATTTATTTCCTCCGTCTTCAGGTTGTGGGAAGCATGGACGCCCATCCCAGCAGATATTGTGCTACAGTGCGAGTCCAGCAGCATCGCCAGGACATCATCCAGGACTTGGCTGCTATGGTGAGGGAGCTTCTCATTCAGTTCTACAAGTCCACCCGTTTCAAGCCCACCAGGATCATTTACTACCGTGATGGTATATCTGAAGGCCAATTTAATCAGGTACTTTTTTTAAAGAACTTTTTAAAAGAAAAGTTAGTTCACTGTGTTTATTTTTTGCCTGTTCACAATTTGTTTTGTTGAATGTATGCAGGTTCTTCAACATGAACTGTTAGCAATCCGTGAAGCCTGCATCAAACTGGAGAAAGACTACCAGCCTGGAATCACCTTTGTTGTCGTGCAAAAGAGACACCACACAAGACTGTTCTGTATGGACAGAAACGAAAGGGTCAGTTTTGCATCATTCATATTGTTGTTTAAAAGAAATCTGTAAAGCAATCGGAGTGAATATTTTTAGCATAAATAAAAGGTTCTTAAGAGTTTGTACGTCCTTTGGTTTTTACAGGTTGGAAAAAGTGGCAACATCCCTGCAGGCACCACGGTGGATACAAAAATCACTCACCCATCAGAGTTTGACTTCTACCTTTGCAGTCACGCTGGCATTCAGGTACATGTTTGGTCCATTCATTTATTCTGTCATCAGGAAGCGTATTGTGGTCGCAGAGGAGCTGGAGACGATCACAGCTGTTGTCAAGGTCAGGGTCCAGTTCACCCTGGTCAGTTCAGGACTCATCCTAGTACTACAGAGATCTTCAACCATCTACATCATTGTACTCGTATTTAAACTTAGTGTAAAGGGAACCATAAACGTAATGGCTGTTTTTTGGACTATCGGACAGAACTGGAGTTCTGCTGAGATGCACTGAGACTTATGCCTTTTTTTCCTTTTTTGCAGGGAACCAGCAGACCATCTCACTACCACGTGCTCTGGGATGACAACCACTTCTCTTCAGATGAACTGCAGATTCTCACCTACCAGCTCTGTCACACCTATGTCCGCTGCACTCGGTCAGTGTCCATCCCAGCACCAGCCTACTACGCCCATCTGGTGGCCTTCAGGGCTCGCTATCACTTGGTAGACAAGGAGCATGACAGGTACGTGTTTTCAAAGCGATGGCTATGTTTGTAGTGAGTTAATTGAATAAGTACTATGATTTTAAAAGAAAGTCAGATAGTGTGGATTTTTATATAATTTTCTGCAATTATTTGCAATGACAGTGCTGAAGGAAGCCACACTTCTGGCCAGAGTAATGGTCGTGACCAGCAGGCCTTGGCCAAGGCCGTACAGATCCACCAGGACACGCTGCGAACCATGTACTTTGCCTGAGAGCACAGGAAACCCAGGGTGGACGTGGGTGAGACTGATGGAACACACTACCACACCGTCTGTCATGCTGTCAACTTGTACATGGCATCACAGTGGTTTTACACATCATGTCTCCCTGCACTAATAACCAGTCTGTTAAACACACATCTACAATTGTACTTCAGCCCCTGACCTGCCTAAAACCAAGACCGCTTGTAGACCAAGATGCAAAAGAAAGGAGTTAGGCTTATATTTTTATGTCGTGACATTTGCTTTCGTGTGTATTTGTATTTCATTGTCGGGGAATATACCGCAAAGCCGGAGAGGAAGAACAGTTTGTACACTGATAGATGAAATCTTACCATTTTATAACCAAGTGGGCTGTGATTTGACAGTTTGGGTTGTGTTTGGTTTGGAATAAGCTGTTTACCCTCTTCTTCCTCCTATCAGTTGATACAGCCTTGGTGCTTTAAAGAAAAGAAAAAAAGAGGATACGTCAGAAGGCAGCCGTGCCGGTTTACTGTTTTATACGCTTGAAGTTTTTGCTTCTCCGACAAACATTATTTATCAGCCAATCAAAGCAAAGTGCACTGATCAGAATGGGTACTTAAGCAGAACAAAAGTACTTAAGACGTGGATCTGTCACATAGGGCACTATGTGATAAAAAAAGTGCCATTTGAGACCACCTTTCTAATGTCATTTCTATGTAAAAGAATGATTTTTGTTTAATTATTATTATTATTATTGTTCATCACACACCCAATGGGTTTTCAGTATTTCATCTTGATCGCCAGTAGTGACCAATTTTAATGCCAAAAATGGCGACAAATTTTTAACATACTTGTGTTTAAATTGGAATGATTTTTAACCATCGAACCAGCAGTTGATTCCAGTTGGGGTCTCTTGTTACCCTGATTAAAAGAGAACATTTATTTTTAACCTTCCTCTGCCTCACGTTAGTCTAAACTGACCAAGTTGCACCAGTAACCTAACTAGTTCATTGGGACTGGTTCCTGACAAGGCTTCATTATTTTAATGTACTCTGAGCCGTGTTGTTGAAAGTACAAACCAACTCGGGAGAGAACTCGATCTAATCGGTTTTCTTCCCTTTCTAAGTTTTCAATTATTTTTGTCTTTTCGGGGGTTTTTTGTGTTTAATTACAATCATTGTTTTTATTGAATATGCACAGAGCTGACTCACCTTTTAGAAATTGAGGATTTTGTGATGTTTTGTTCATCTACACAGAGAACAGTGTGTTCTGCAGCATTTTTTTTTTTATCAAGGCAATGATGGCTTCGCCTTTCCATTTTTCAGCTTACAGTACAGAGGCACAAAAGCTGCAAAAAGTTTCAAGTTTAAAAGATTGAAATTTCCAAACAAAAAAAATACTAAAGTCTTGAATTCTACTTATTGCTCCAGCAGTTAGGAGCTGTTGTCGCACAAGAGCGCTGAGTTTTATGCAAATGACTCTGTGTGAGTCATTATTCTATATAAATATATATTAGTAATGTTGATAATGAGGTATATTTTGAATAAGCTTGCAGTGGAGGCTGCTGAATATATTATAAATGACTTTTTGAATAACGGGCCACCTGTAGTTTAAATTAACACCGTCTATTTGTACACAGATTTTAAATTCAAATATTCTCTTGCCTTTTGAGACTGTCGTGGTCTTACTAATAATTTTTAGACAATTCCTAACGTCCCAGCAAAGTTTAATCCGCTCCGTGGAGGTGAATGTGATTGTACACAGCACCTTGTTTGGAGGCAAGTAGTCTATTACTTTCTCTAACTATGCATTGTTTTTTAACCAAGATATTTAACAGTGGGGCTTCTTATGTGTAGGTAGGTCATTTGTAGAGGTAGATCGTCAGGGCCTTTGTTTTTGTTATTTTCTTATCATTGTGTTTTAGCATGTTGCATTTTAATAGGGTTTCTTAGTGCTTAATCAGCATCTCCATGACGTTGGAATGGGGTGAAGTATTTATGTGGTTATTTGTAACAGTGTAGATTTTATAACCTTAAAAGTGGGCTTGTGTGTGCTCTGTAGCCCGTAGACTTTCTTTCTTAGCCAAACAAGATTACGAAACTTTTACATAATCAATAAACCGATGAGAAGCACAACAGGACGATCTGATTCCAGGTGCTAGATGTTTGTCACTGTAACCCATCCAAGAAATCCTCACTGGATTCCTTCGTAAAGCTTTTTGGACTTGTATGCGCAAATATTCCTGGTCACTTTTAGGATCTCTTTTTTTTTTTCTCCGATGACCTCTGTGTGTTACACTTAGCTCGCTATCTGTAAAGCAGCAAGAAAAGCCGACTGACTGTGTTTGTGGGGCATTCTAGTAT